TTTCGTTGCACTCTGCTGTTAATTCCCCTTCTCATTTACTTAGCCGTTTGATTAATAAATCGTTAATTATATTTATGGAATTAGTACCGATTAAACGTGACGTAGCCCGACAAAAATCCGCTGTCTAGTAATATGAAAGGCAACTGAAAATCGTTTATGTATAAACATTCTTAATTTAAGATGACAAGCGTAACAGCATACGTGAGAGTCAAACAGAGAAACTGTAAACAAAACGACCATCGGTTTTATTGCTTCGACTTCCGCTTATTATATAAAACATTGGGTTTTATTTTAATTCTTGACGGTGAAATTCACAATTGGTTGATTATAAACATGTCTATTTCACATTCGCGGAACCAAGTGAGCGCATAAAACAAATGCAGGTCTGTAATGTTAAAGTCGATGTAAATAAGCGTGCTACCCTTATGTTTCAACCGAGTTTTTCCTTTAACAAATTTTGTGTCTACCAAATTGGGTTGGTTGGGGTGTAATACTAATAATAAGTGTTGCCTTTAATTTAATCAATAAAATAAATTGACTTCATTAATTTTTTTGAAACACCTCTTAAGAAAATCTAAAAAATATGAATGGAATGATAAATCACAAGTACAAACTCATCATATTTTTTGCATTTTAGATAGGATTTATTCAGCAAAATTTAAGGGTGACGTCATCAATTTTTTTAGGACGGATGAACAAATACATTTTGAACAAAAGTTTACCATGCTTATAATAACTTTAAAATATTCCCAAGATTTCAAAGCATTCGGTTTTGTAATTCCTGATTAAATCGATAAAATAAATTCACGCCTTCATTAATTTTTTTGAGTCACCCTGCATATGCAAATCCAAAAATATGAATGGAATGATAAATCACAAGTACAGACTCATCATATTTTTACAGTTTAGATAGGATTTATTCGGCAAACTTTCGAGCTGACGTCATCAATTTTTTGGTGGGGATAAGCAAATATATTTTGACTAAACATTTATTATGCTCTTTATGACCTTAAAACATCTGCAAGATTTCAAAGCATTCGGTTTTGTAGTTCCTGATTAAATCAATAAAATAAATTTACGCATTCATTAATTTTTTTGAGTTACCCTGTATATGCAAATCGAAAAAATTTGAATGGAATGATAAATCACAAGAAAAGACTCACCATATTTTGTACATTTTAGATATGATTTATTCGGCAAACTTTCGAGCTGACGTCATAAAGTTTTTGGAGGGGATAAGCAAATATATTTTGACTAAACATTTATTATGCTCTTTATGACCTTAAAACATCTGCAAGATTTCAGAGCATTCGGTTTTGTAGTTCCTGATTAAATCAATAAAATATATTTACGCATACATTAATTTTTTTGAGTCACCCTGTATATGCAAATCCAAAAAATATGAATGGAGTGATAAATTACAAGTACAGACTCATCATATTTTTACAGTTTAGATAGGATTTATTCGGCAAACTTTCGAGCTGACGTCATCAATTTTTTGGAGGGGATAAGCAAATATATTTTGACTAAACATTTATTATGCTCTTTATGACCTTAAAACATCTGCAAGATTTGAGAGCATTCGGTTTTGTAGTTCCTGATTAAATCAATAAAATATATTTACGCATTCATTAATTTTTTTGAGTCACCCTGTATATGCAAATCCAAAAAATATGAATGGAGTGATAGATCACAAGTACAGACTCATCATAGTTTGTACATTTTAGATATCATTTATTCCACAAACTTTTGAGCTGACGTCATCAAGTTTTTGGAGGGGATAAGCAAATATTTTTTGACTAAAGATTTATTATGCTCTTTATGACCTTAAAACATCTGCAACATTTCAAAGCATTCTGGTTAGCAGATTAAAAATTAAATTTCAAAATGTTGTTTTATAATTTTGATTTTTTTTCCAAAAATCTGGACGTTTCGGGTGAAAAGTCGATTCAGAGTTGTAAACTACATGTGTAGGACTATGTTATTTTATACAATTGAAAACCCATTTACTATGTACAATTTTGAAGTGACGTCATCGCTTTAGTGGTGGGGATGATTAGACAAATTTTGGTTAGCGTTTTACCATCTACATGATATTCTTAATATAAGTACAAAATTTCACAACAATCGGTCGAGTACTTTCGGAGATTATCTGTCTAATAAAAATCCGGGACAACAGACGGACAGACGGACAGACGGACGGACAGACGGACAGACGGACGGACAGACGGACAGACGGACAGACGGACAGACAGACGGAAATGGGAGACCTATTTCTTCGTCTTCTAGGGGTCATGAAAGATCGAGAAAACGTAAAAGTAGAGAGTCGGCCGACGGACTCGATTACAATACTTCCTTTGCTTACGCTCGGGAAGTAAAAACCAAAAAGTATAAAATGAACACCTTGGAAAATCTAAAAATTGGAAATCACGAACTAGAAAAATTGAGTTAACGAAAATTTTAAAAGTCGAAAGGTTGAAAAATGAAATATTGTAAAATCGAATTAATGACAATTAAGGAAACCGAAAAATCGAACTACTGAAAAATAAAAGATTGACAGTTGAAGAACTGAATAAACGAAAAATTAGATAATCGATAGAAACATGAAAAAAATAAAGGAAATGAAAAAACGAAAAATTGGGAAAATGAAATATTTTTCAATTCTTAGATTTGCAAATTTTCCGGCTTTCAGGTTCTGCATTTTTCAATTTTTAATTTCTTCAATTTTGGATTTCATTGAAAAATGTTCACTTTTTCTATTATACAATTTTAGAAATTTTCCATTGTCCAATTATTGTGTCTTAGAAATTTTTCATTCGATTTTTGAATTTTTGGATTTTTAATTTTTGAATTTTTCCATATTTAATTTTTTAATCTTACAGTTTTTCGACTTTACAATTTTGACGTTTCTATTATTTTTCGAGCTGATATTTTTCGGGTTTTCTAATTTTTCCATTGGTTTTTAACTTTTCGAATAAAAAATATGGAAAAATTACAAAATTGTAACATTGAAAAATCAAAAATAAAAAAACCAAAAAGTATAAAATGAAAACCTTTGAAAATCTAAAAATTGGAAATCAAGAACTAGAAAAATTGAGTCAACGACAATTTTAAAAGTCGAAAGATTGAAAAATGAAATATTATAAAATCGAATTAATGAAAATTACGGAAACCGGAAAATCGTCTGCAATTTTTCAACTTGTCGATTTCTCAATTTTTTACTGTTTCGATTTGTAAATAACGGATTTTTCAATTTTCCAATTTCTCAATTTTTCTCGATTTTTTAGTTTTTCGTTTGTTCAATTTTTCTTCGATTTTTCAATTTTTCACTTTCTCAATTCTTCAATTTTTCCTCGATTTTTTGATTTTCCATTTTTACATCTTCGATTTTTGATTTTTTTGATTTTTTAAAGTTTCGATTTGTGGATTTTTTACTGTTTTGATTTTTTTATTTTTCCATTTTTAAAAATGAGATTCTTCAATTTCCCAATTTTTCGATCTATCGAATTCTGTTTTTCAATTTTATGATTTTTAATTCTGGATTTTTCAGTTTTTCGGTTTTTAAATTTTTGGATTTTTCAATTTTCCCCTTTCTCGATTTATCGAGATTTCGATTGTTCAATTTTTTGGTTTTTCGATTTTTTTTTTATTTCAAATCTTAATTTAAAAAAAAATATTTTTCGAGTTTGGGCTTTTCGATTTCTGAATTTTTCGGTTTTTCCACTTCTAGACTTTTCAATTTTTCAGTTTCTCGATTAATCGATTTTTTGGTTTTTCGACTCTTCGATTTCTCAATTTTTCAATTCTTCAATTTTTGGATTTTTTAATTTTTTGATTTTTCAGGTTTTCGCATCTTGAAATTTTCGATTTCACGATTTTTTCATTTTTCGATTTCTCAATTTTCCGATGTTTCAATTTTACGATTTTTCAATTTTTGACGTTTGTAAATTTTCGATTTTTTGGGTTTTCGATTTTTCAGTCTTTGATTTTTCAATTTTTCGATTTGTGGATTTTTAAAGTTTCCATTTCTTAATTTGCGTATGTTTCAGTTTTACGATTTTTCAATTTTTTCTTTTCCTCAATTTTTCTTAGATTTTTCAACTTTTCGATATTTCAGTTTTGGGATTTTTCAATATTTCGATTCTTCAATTTTTCAATTTTTCGATTTCTCAATTTTTTACTGTTTCGATTTTTAAATAACAGATTTTTCAATTTTCCAATTTCTCAATGTTTCGATTTCTCGGTTTTCTAGTTTTTCGTTTCCTCAATTTTTGACGTTTGTAAATTTTCGATTTTTTCGGATTCTTTAATTTCTCGAGTTTTTAACTTTTCGAATACAAAATATGGAAAAATTATAAAATTGTAACATAGAAAAATTGAAGTACTGTAAAATCAAAGATTGACAGTTGAAGAAGTGAATAAACGAAAAATTAGATAATCGATAGAAACATGGAAAAAATAAAAAAAAAATGAAAAAACAAAAAATTGGGATACATAAAATCCAAAAATGAAACTTTGAAAATCGGGGAAATGAAAGATTTTTCAATTTTTCGATTTGCAAATTTTCCGGCTTTTAGTTTTTCGGTTTTTTTGGATTTTTGACTTTTTCGTTTTGTCAAGTTTAGATTTTTCAGTTTCTGAATTTTTCAATTTTTAAGTTCTTCAATTTTGGATTTCATTAAAAAAAAATCACTTTTTCTATTACACAATTTTAGAAATTTTCCATTTTTCAATTTTTTCATTCGATTTTGAAATTCTTTGATTTTTAATTTTTTAATTTCTCCATATTTAATTTTTTAATCTTACAGTTTTTCGACTTTACAATTTTGACGTTTCTATAATTTTTCGATCTGACAATTTTCGGGTTTTCTAATTTTTCCATTCGATTCCTTTTTTCTTCTTTCCAATTTTTCGTTTCTTCAGTTTTTTGAAATGCAGTTTTTCGATTTTTTCCGATCGAAAAAATGAAATATTGTAAAATCGAATTATATTAGTAATACCTGTTCCAGAGGTATCCCGGACGAATTAACTATGATCATTTTGGCCAGCGCCCCGCAGATGTTGTCCAAAGTGCCGGCGTGAGATTCCTTGGCGACGGCTGCAGAAAGCGACTGGAGAATATCTTGGTAAAAACTGACAATATTAAGAAACAATACACATTTCAATTGGGTCAGATCAGAGTAGCTACAAAAGGATACGGAAAAATTCGATCTTTCCCATGCAATATCATCTCCCCGAGTCCGAAAATCGCATTATTCCTGACTTCGTCAGCAGCGTCTTTGGCTCCCGTCAGCCACAGGTGCAAAAGGTGCTGGTTGAACTTTTCCACGTAAACGTCTAGAGATTTCATGCACTCCGCCAGAGTCCCGTAAGCGAACGACCTCTGACTTATACTATTTTGTTTTTTCTAAAACCAACCAATAAACAAACAACAGCTGTCACAACCAAAAAAAAAACAAAAAACCTACAGTTCTCTGCGTCATCAATTGTAAAATATTCGGAAAATACAACATGAAGTCGTCTGGTGCAATCGCGGCTGCGAATTTTGGAATGACGTCACCAGCTGACTCCAACAACAACTCGTCTTGTTCAGCTTCCCCCTCCTCGTCGGCATTTTCATGATTCACATCTAAGTCAGTATCCTGGCACATCGTCTACAAAACTCAGACTATAAATGCTCACCAAACCCCCCTGACTGACTACCTTCAGCGTCAAAACGTCAATCACGCAATTCATAATGGCCTCCCTGTGTCCTTCCCCCACCAAAACCCCGCTCTTCACTTCGTCCAATAGCAACGCATACGCGTCCAGACAACACATAACCACACTTCTCTCTTCGTCCGTTCGGATTAGTTCGGCACATTTCGGTATGAACATCTGCAAAGCTTTGTAGAGAGCTTGTTTGGTTTCGGTGGAGTTCATCTTGTGTAAAGCGATGCAGAACTGGAGTAAAGCTTCGACTGAGGCTTTTCGGATGTCCTCCTGGGGGTAGTTGATCAGTTTGAAGATTTCTTCGAAGCTTTTTTCTATGTAGGGCAAGAACGAGTTCCTGGAGGCAGAGAGTTAGATTGAGGGGTGGCGAAAGCGTGGGGTTACCCTGTGTTTATGCAGATCTCGCGGAGGGCTAAGCAGGCTTGCTCTTTCTCTTCGTTGTAGGAGTTCTCGACGGAGTAGCGGCAGTGGGTCGAGTCCGCGCTACTCGAAGATGCCACGTCTAGATCTTCTTCTTCCTCTTCGTCGTCGTCGGAGAGCTCCGCGTACACGTCTAGGTCTTCCTTTTCTTCTTCTTCGTAGTGAGTCTGCGGCGGGATTTTAAGTAAAAACTACGATTGTTTTTCAAAATTCGTCAAAATTTCAATGAAACTTGGACCTGAGGAGTTGTCGGAACAAAAGACTATCACCGAAAGATTAATCGGAAAATTTCAGTGTGGAAAAGTTGGTCACACTTCTAATAATTCAACAACTACGTTTTCAAAAAAAAGTCAAAATTTTTAGTTTTCAAATATGTAGTTTTATTGGAAAATTAGAAAGTATTTTAATAGTAGAATGTAGGACGAATTTTCATTAAGTCACCGTTTCGACAGGATTTTTTTGTACCCTAAATTAAGCCAAACACAAAAAAAATACTCAAAATAAATAGATATAAAGACAGGTTTTTTCAAAACTCGTCAAAATTTCATAAAATCCGAACCAGAAATCGTTACTAATCTATCAAATTTCTATCTAATGCATGACATTTATACAAACTAGTCACTGAATTTTTCAAAATTCGTCAAAAATTCAATAAAACTTGAACCTGATAAGTTGTCGAAACAAAATATTTCACCAAAAGGTTAATAAAAACAATTTCAAAGAATTGGTGCAAGGTTATTTCGACAGAACTTCTTTCGTCATTAAAGTAAATCCCATGTCTTTGAAAAATTATTAGTGGCGTAATAACTCTGAAAAATCGGAACATCGAAAAATTAAAAAAATCTTCCGGAAAATTAAAAAGTCGAAAACTAAAAAGGTGGACAATTCTAATATAAAAATAAAAAACGAAAATTTCAAAGTTTGAAAAATCGAAAATCTAAAAACCAAAAATTCGAAAATCGAGATTTCTCAAATTGGAAATATACAAGAGAAACAAAATATGAGTAGATAAAACGAAACATCGTGTGTCGAATAACTGAAAAATTCTAAAATGGAAAAGTCGAAAAATGGAAAAACTGAAAAATCGGGAAACTGAAATTAAAAACATTGACACTTGGAATATCTCAAAATCGAAAGTCGAAAAATCAAAAATTAGTTGAATCAAATATCCCAAAAATCGAAAATTAAAAAACGAAAGTTCCAAAAATCGCAAAGGTGAAAAATCAAAAAATAAAAAAATTGAAGTCCAAAACTGAAGAAACTAAAATTCGAAAACCGGAAGAGTTGAAAAATTGAAAAATCCAAGAATGGAAGTATTGAAAAAACGACAACTCTCGAAAGTCAAAAAATAGAAAATTCTAAAATCTAAAATTCGACAGAAACAAAATGGAATATCAGAAAATAGAAGAACCAAAAATTTGAAATTTGAAAAATCGGAAAACCGAAAAATCGAAAAACCGAGAAATCGAAACATCGACATATTGAAAATTTGAAACATCTAGGAATTGAAATATCGAAAAACTGAAATATCCAGAATTGGGAAATTTTCCACAATTGAAGTGTTAAAAAGTTGAGAAATCGAAAACTTGAAAAATCGAGAAATCTAAAAATTTTAAACATTGAAAAACCGAGAAACGAGAAATGGAAAAATCGAAAAATTAAAATATTAAAAAATTTAAAAATTGTAAAATCGAAAAATGTAACATAAAAAAAGCACTAATTTGAAAAATCTCAAAACTAAAATGTAGAAAAATTGGGAAATTGAAACATCGAGAAATCGAAGCATCAAAAGGAGAAATCGAAAAGTCGAGAACTCGAAATAACCCAAACTCGAAAAATTAAAATTTGAAAAGTTCAAAAATTTAAATCTTGATAAATAGAGATATCGAAAAATTGATAAAATAGAAAAATCGAAAGATTTAAAAATCCAAAAATTGAAACATAGAAAAACTGAAATCGAGAAATCAAAAAATTTAAAATTTCGAAAATCAACAAATTAAAAAAACATCAAAAAATTGAAGATTCTAAGGGGCCAATTCCAAGTTGGTGGCGCAAGTCAGTGGTGCAGCGCAACTTTATAATGCTAATTTGGGTATCAAATGCTGGTTGCTAGGGGTGACGGAATAAACAAGCGCAATTTTTCGAGATAAATTGCGCCAACTTGCACTGCCTACTAGAGGTGCCGCAACTCCATGGTGCAAATTTCAATGGAAAGTTCGACAAAACTGCGTTTGTTGATTCCGTCACCCCTAGCAACCAGCATTTGATACCCAAATTAGCATTATAAAGTTGCGCTGCACCAGTGATTTGCGCCGACAACTTGGAATTGGCCCCTAAGAATTGAAAAATTAAAAATTTGAAAATAAAGAAAATCAAAAATTAAAGAACTCAAAATCTGAAAGTCAAAAACTGAAGAATCGAAAAATAAAAAAAAAGATGGAGAAATCGAGAATTTACAAAATAAAAAAAAAATTGAAGGATTGAAAAATTAAATTGAAAACTGAAATATCGAAAAATTAAGAACTCGAAACATCGAAAAATGAAAAATTGAAACTAAAATTCGAAAATTGGAAAAATCAAAAAATCCAACACTGAAATATTGAAAAAATGGAATCTCGAAAGTCAAAAAATAAAAAATTCTAAAATCGAAAAATCGAAATAAACAAAATGGAATATCTAAAAAAGGAAATTTCGAAAATTTGAAATTTGAAAAATCGAAAAGCCGAAAAATCAAGAAATCGCAACATCGATATATCGAAAAATTGAAAGATCTAGGAATCGAAACATCAAAAAATCAAGAAAAAAATTAAAGTTGAAAAATCTCAAAACTAAAATGTAGAAAAATTGGGAAATTGAAACATCGAGAAATCGAAGCATCAAAAGAATAAGAAATCGGAAAGTCGAAAAGTCAAAAAATTTAAAAACCGAGAAATCTAAAAATCGAGACATCAAAATAACCCAAATTCGAAAAATTAAAATTTGAAAAGTCCAAAAATTTAAATCTCGATAAATAGAGATATTGAAAAATTGATAGAACAGAAAAATCGAAAGATTTAAAAATCAACAAATTAAAACATCAAAAAATTGAAGATCCTAAGAATTGAAATATCGAAGAAAAATTGAAGAATCGAAAAACAGAAAAATTCCAAAACTGAAACATCGAAAAATCTCAAAAAATTGAAAAATTCCAAAAATTTGAAAATAAAGAAAATCAAAAATTAAAAAACTCAAAATCTGAAAGTTAATTAAAGAAATTAAAAAATCTGCAAAAGATTTAAAAGGTGAGAAGTCAAAAACTGAAGAATCGAAAAATAAAAAAAAAAAAATATGGAGAAATCGAAAATTTACAAAATCAAAAAAAATTGAAGAATTGAAAAATTGAAAACTGAAATATCGAAAAATTAAGAAATCGAAACATCGAAAAATGAAAAATTGAAACTAAAATTCGAAAATTGGAAAAATTGAAAAATCCAACACTGAAATATTGAAAAAATGGAATTTCGAAAGTCAAAAAATAGAAAATTCTAAAATCGAAAAATCGAAATAAACAAAATGGAATATCAAAAAACGGAAATTTCGAAAATTGGAAATTTGAAAAATCGAAAAGCCGAAAAATCAAGAAATCGCTACATCCATATATTGAAAAATTGAAAGATCTAGAAATCGAAATATCAAAAAATCGAGAAAAAAATTGAAAAGTCGAAAAATCAACCAACCGAAACATTCAAAAATTAAAATATTCAAAAACTGAAAAATCCAGAAATGGGAAAATTCCCACAATTAAAGTGTTAAAAAGTTGAGAAATCGAAAACTTGAAAAATCGAGAAATTTAAAAACTTTACACAATAAAAAACCGAGAAGTCGAGAAATGGAAAAATCGAAAAATTGAAATATTAAAAATTGTAAAATCAAAAATGTTACATAAAAAAAGTGCTAAATTGAAAAATCTCAAAACTAAAATGTAGAAAAATTGGGAAATTGAAACATGGAGAAATCGAAGCATCAAAAGAATAAGAAATCGGAAAGTCGAAAAGTCAAAAAATTTAAAAACCGAGAAATCTAAAAATCGAGACATCGAAATAGCCCAAATCCGAAAAATTAAAATTTGAAAAGTCCAAAAATTTAAATTAAAAAAAATAAAAATGGAAACATCAAAATCTCGATAAATCGACACATCGAAAAATTGATAAAACAGAAAAACCTAAAGATTTAAAAATCCAAAAATTGAAACATCGAAAAACTGAAAATTCAAAAAAACGGAAATCGAGAAATCAAAAAATCTAAAATTTCAGAAATCAACAAATTAAAACAACAAAAAATTGAAGAATCTAAGAACTGAAATATCGAAGAAAAATTGAAGAATCGAAAAACAGAAAAATTGCAAAACTGAAACATCGAAAAATCTGGAAAAATCGAAAAATAAAATAATCGAGAAATCGAAAATTAAAAAAAAATCAAAAGAATTGAAGAATTGAAAAATTGGAAAATCGACGAACTGAAAAATCTAAAAAAATTAAAAATCAAAAGATGAAAAATCTCAAAACTGAAATATCGAAAAATTAAGAAATCGAAACATCGAAAAGTGAAAAATTGAAACAATTAAAATTCGAAAATTGGAAAAATTAAATCTCGAAACTCAAAAAATAGAAAATTCTAAAATCGCAAAATTGAAATAAACAAAATGGAATATCAAAAAACGAAAAAATCGAAAATTGGAAATTTGAAAAATCGAGAAATCGAAACATCGATATATTGAAAAATTGAAACATCTAGGAATCGAAACACCAAAAAATCGAGAAAAAAATTGAAAAGTCGAAAAATCGACCATCCGAAATATCCAAAAATTAAAATATCCAAAAACTGAAAAATCCAGAAATGGGAAAATTCCCACAATTGAAGTGTAAAAAAGTTGAGAAATCGAAAACTTGAAAAATCGAGAAATTTAAAAACTTTAAATAATAAAAAACCGAGAAGTCGAGAAATGGAAAAATCGAAAAATTGAAATATGTATTAAAAAAATTAAAAATTGTAAAATCGAAAAATTTAACATTAAAAAAAGCGCTACATAGAAAAATCTCAAAACTAAAATGTAGAAAAATTGGGAAATTGAAACATCGAAAAACTGGAACTTCAAAAAACGGGATCGAGAAATCAAAACTTTAAAAAATCTTCCGGAAAATCAAAAAGTCGAATAGTAAGAAGGTAGAAAATTCTAATATTGACGAATCGAAAATTCGAAAAATCGAAAACTCGAGAAATCAAAGAATCCAAAAATTAAAAAAAAATTAAAAATCGAAAAACTGAAGAATGGATAAGTTGAAAATTCGAGAAATCGAAAAGTAAAAAAATGAAAAGTTTAAAAACTAAACAACATAAAAAATGAAAAATCGAAATTTCAAAAAATCAAAAAAAAAACAAAAATTTGAAAGTTTGAGAAATCGAAGAAATGGGGAATAAGAAATTGAAAAATAAAAAAATTAAATCTAAAAACTGAAGAACTGAACTTTAAACATCGAAAATTCGAAAAATCAAAAGTCAAAAAAACAAAAAGTAGAAAATCCGAAAAATAAAAAAAATGATAAGTCTAAAAACTGAAGAATGTAAAATTGAAACAACGAATTCGGAGAATTGAAAAATTGGCAAATAGAGGATTCGAAAAATCGAAGATTCTAAAGACGAAAAAAAAAAGAATGGAATACCGAAAAATGGAAAAATCCAAAATTTGAAATTTAAAAATCGAAAAGCCGACAAGTCGAAAACTGGAAACTTGGAAATCGAAACATCGAAAGATCGAGAAATCGAAAAGTCAAAAAATGGATAAACCGAAAAATCTAAAATAAAAATAACGAAAAGTTGAAAAATCCGGAAATGGACATTTTCCCAAAATTAAAGTATTAAAAGGATGAGAAATCGAAAACTAGGAAAATCGAGAAATCTAAAAACATTAAACATTGAAAAACCGAGAAGTCGAAATGGAAAAATCGAAAAATTGAAATATGTACTAAAAAATTTAAAAATTGTAAAATCAAAAAATGTAACTTTGAAAAAAAAACGCTAAACTGAAAAATCCCTTAACTCAAAAATGTAGAAAAATTGGAAAATCGAAAGATCAAAAAATTGGAAAATTGACAAGTCGAGAAGTCGAAAAATTAAAATTTGAAAAATCCAAAAATTTAAATAATAAAAAAAATGGAAATTTCGAAATCTCGATAAATTGAGAAATCTTAAAATTGATAACACTAAAAATCGAAAAATTTTAAAAACCAAAAAATTGAAAAATTAAAAAACGAGAAATCGAGAAATCAAAAAATCCAAAATTTCAGAAATCAAAAATTAAAGACTCCATAAACTCGAGTATTGAAAAATTGCAAATACGAAGTAAAATTGAAGAATCCAAAAACAGAAAAATCCCAAAAACTGAAACATCCAAAAATATCGAAAAATTGAAAAATCAAAAACCTGAAAATCAAAAAAAGTAAAAATTAAAAAATTGAACTCAAAATCTGAAAGTGGAAAAATCGAGAAGTTGAGAATTCGAAAAATATGAAAAAGGTCGAAAAGTCGAAAAATCGAAGAATGGAAAAATAAAAAAATCGAGAATTCGAAAATTTGAAAAATCAAGAAATTTAAAAGTTAAAAAACTGAAAAATCTCAAAACTGAAATAACGAAAAATTAAAAACTCCAAATAAATAAAAATAAAAATTTTGTTTTCTGGAGTCAAGGATGTACAAATATTTTTATTATTATATCATAAACCACACACAAGTGCAGCAATATCTTATTTTATAAAATTTAAACAACATCTACTGATGTAAATTTTGGAGGTGACGTCATCCTGTTTTTGGTGGGCACGATTGGCCAAATTTTGATTAGCGTTTTACCATCTACACGATAATCCTAATACACATATAAAATTTGACAACGATCGGTCCAACAGCTTCGGAAATTATCTGTTTAATAAAAATCCGGACAGACGACAGACAGACAGACGGATTTTCTAGCTTACGCTCGGGAAACAAAAATCTAAATCTCTACTACAAAAACTTACAACTATTCCCTCGCTGCTCTGTATGCTACTAATCATCTGCTCCACAACCTTTGGAAGCACTGGACTAATCTCCTCCTTCATGACTATCGCTAAAGCTGCAAATAAGGCATAGACGCTTTTCCGAACGTCCGGATCATCCGTATCATCTAAAACTTTCAGACCAAACTGTAAAGACTCGGCTGCCAACGGTTTAAAATTATCCACTCCTATAAACTGCGCTATCACCGCTAAGGCCTCTAAAAAACCCATTTTCACAAAATTAATAAACCTTTTCTCCAGACCCTCACCTATCGCGTAGCTTTGAAGCTGGTGGATTTCCGAATTCGGGTCAGCGTTTATGTATACGTTGAGTATTTCGATGATTTTCTGGAAGTAGGGCAGCAACCCCTCTTTGACGGCACTAGCGGCCGACCCTAGAGTACTCAAAGCGATTCTTTTAAGCTGCATGGACCAGCCAGTGGGGTCCAGAGCGACGAAGAGTCGATCCATGAGAGTGGGAAGGTAAGGCATTAACCCTTCGTCCAGGTTCTCACAGAAGGTTTCTAAAGCGTAGAATAACCTATCTAAACTGGCAGACTCCGTCTTGTCCTTCTCCATTTGAGCGTACACTTGACCTAAGTACTCGAAGAGTACTGGAAGGAGCTCTGCGGCGTATTGGCTAATCTCGGGCTAAAAATTTCAACGAGTTATAGTTTTTTCCGCCGACGGAAGACTAAACCTAAAGCGTATTATGTCGTTTTTGGACACTCCTCACAGTGGAAGTCATTCAATTCCTTAATACACATAAACTTCTGCCCAAGTTTTTGTCAGAAGTATACGTCCGATTGTAACAAACTTCACTCCGTTGAAATGAGCCTAAAAAACTCTACCCAGACTGCTTTTTCGTTTTTTAAATTTTGTTGTCAAAAAAAAACTACAACGCGTTAAAATAGTGATGAGTATGAGGTTATCTGGTTTTCGCTATTTATGGATCAATTTTAAATTTTCAAAAAAGTACATTAGTAGAAATTGTATTAAAAAATCCATTGCGCTTTACAGAAATAAAATATTTTAGTAAATAATTGAGTAAACAGGGACAGAATATTTAAAATTTGTGGTCGAACAAACTTTAGCCATTTTTCTGCTCCACTCAAATCTATCAGTCGATCAGTCAGTCAGTCAGTCAAAAATTTGAAAAATCGAAAAGCCGAAAAATCAAGAAATCGCAACATCAATATATTGAAAAATTGAAAGATCTAGGAATCGAAATATCAAAAAATCGAGAAAAAAATTGAAAAGTCGAAAAATCGATCAACCGAAACATCCAAAAATTAAAATATCCAAAAACTGAAAAATCCAGAAAGTCGAGAAATCGAAAACTTGAAAAATCTAGAAATTTGAAAACTTTAAACAATAAAAAACCCAGAAGTCGAGAATTGGAAAAATCGAAAAATTGAAATATTAAAAAATTTAAAAATTGTAAAATCGAAAAATGTAACATTAAAAAAAAGCGCTACATAGAAAAATCTCAAAACTAAAATGTAGAAAAATTGGGAAATTGAAACATCGAAAAACTGAAAATTCAAAAACGGGATTTCGAGAAATCAAAAAAAAAAAATCTTCCGGAAAATCAAAAAGTCGAATAGTAAGGAGGTAGAAAATTCTAGTATTGAAGAATCGAAAATTCGAAAAATCGAAAACTCGACAAATCAGAGAATCAAAAAATTAAAAAAAAATTAAAAATCGAAAAACTGAAGAATAGAAAAGTTGAAAAGTAGAAAAACAGAAAATTCTAGCAACGAAAATCGAAAACTCGAGAAATCAAAACGTAAAAAAATTGAGTGTTTGAATATCGAAAATCCGAAAAATAAAAAAAATTGAAAAGTCTAAAAACTGTGGAATGGAAAAATTTGAAACAACGAAAATTCGGAGAATTGAGAAATTAAAAATTCGAAAATGGAAGATTCTAAAATCGAAAAAAAAATTGATTCGATCGATCGATCAGTCAGTCAGTCAGTCAGTCAGTCAGTCAGTCAGTCAGTCAGTCAGTCAGTCAGTCAGTCAGTCAGTCAGTCAGTCAGTCAGTCAGTCAGTCAGTCAGTCAGTCAGTCAGTCAGTCAGTCAGTCAGTCAGTCAGTCAGTCAGTCAGTCAGTCAGTCAGTCAGTCAGTCAGTCAGTCAGTCAGTCAGTCAGTCAGTCAGTCAGTCAGTCAGTCAGTCAGTCAGTCAGTCAGTCAGTCAGTCAGTCAGTCAGTCAGTCAGTCAGTCAGTCAGTCAGTCAGTCAGTCAGTCAGTCAGTCAGTCAGTCAGTCAGTCAGTCAGTCAGTCAGTCAGTCAGTCAGTCAGTCAGTCAGTCAGTCAGTCAGTCAGTCAGTCAGTCAGTCAGTCAGTCAGTCAGTCAGTCAGTCAGTCAGTCAGTCAGTCAGTCAGTCAGTCAGTCAGTCAGTCAGTCAGTCAGTCAGTCAGTCAGTCAGTCAGTCAGTCAGTCAGTCAGTCAGTCAGTCAGTCAGTCAGTCAGTCAGTCAGTCAGTCAGTCAGTCAGTCAGTCAGTCAGTCAGTCTACTCAGTCAGTCAATCAGTCGGTTATTCAGAGTCAGTCAGTCTCTTCAATCAGTCAGTTATTCAGACAATCAGTCAATCAGTCAGTTATTCAGACAATCAGTCAGTCAGTCAGACGAGCAGTCAGTCAGTCAGTCAGTCAGTCAGTCAGTCAGTCAGTCAGTCAGTCAGTCAGTCAGTCAGTCAGTCAGTCAGTCAGTCAGTCAGTCAGTCAGTCAGTCAGTCAGTCAGTCAGTCAGTCAGTCAGTCAGTCAGTCAGTCAGTCAGTCAGTCAGTCAGTCAGTCAGTCAGTCAGTCAGTCAGTCAGTCAGTCAGTCAGTCAGTCAGTCAGTCAGTCAGTCAGTCAGTCAGTCAGTCAGTCAGTCAGTCAGTCAGTCAGTCAGTCAGTCTACTCAGTCAGTCAATCAGTCGGTTATTCAGAGTCAGTCAGTCTCTTCAATCAGTCAGTTATTCAGACAATCAGTCAATCAGTCAGTTATTCAGACAATCAGTCAGTCAGTCAGACGAGCAGTCAGTCAGTCAGTCAGTCAGTCAGTCAGTCAGTCAGTCAGTCAGTCAGTCAGTCAGTCAGTCAGTCAGTCAGTCAGTCAGTCAGTCAGTCAGTCAGTCAGTCAGTCAGTCAGTCAGTCAGTCAGTCAGTCAGTCAGTCAGTCAGTCAGTCAGTCAGTCAGTCAGTCAGTCAGTCAGTCAGTCAGTCAGTCAGTCAGTCAGTCAGTCAGTCAGTCAGTCTACTCAGTCAGTCAATCAGTCGGTTATTCAGAGTCAGTCAGTCTCTTCAATCAGTCAGTTATTCAGACAATCAGTCAATCAGTCAGTTATTCAGACAATCAGTCAGTCAGTCAGACGAGCAGTCAGTCAGTCAGTCAGTCAGTCAGTCAGTCAGTCAGTCAGTCAGTCAGTCAGTCAGTCAGTCAGTCAGTCAGTCAGTCAGTCAGTCAGTCAGTCAGTCAGTCAGTCAGTCAGTCAGTCAGTCAGTCAGTCAGTCAGTCAGTCAGTCAGTCTACTCAGTCAGTCAATCAGTCGGTTATTCAGAGTCAGTCAGTCTCTTCAATCAGTCAGTTATTCAGACAATCAGTCAATCAGTCAGTTATTCAGACAATCAGTCAGTCAGTCAGACGAGCAGTCAGTCAGTCAGTCAGTCGGACGATCAGTCAGTCAGTCAGTCAGTCAGTCGGACGATCAGTCAGTCAGTCAGTCAGTTTGTTCAGACAGTCAGTCAGTCTGTTCAAAAAGTCAGTTAATTCGTCAGTCTGTTCAAAAAGTCAGTTAATTCGTCAGTCTGTTCAAAAAGTCAGTCAGTCAGTCAATCTGTCTGTTCAGACAGTCAGTCGGTCTGTTCAGTCAGTCGATCAGTCGGTCATTCAGGGTCAATCAGTCTCTTCAGTTAGTCAGTCAGTCAATCAGTCGCTCATTCAGAGTCAGTCAGTCTATTCAGTCAGTCAGTCAGTCAGTCAGAGAGTCAGTCAGTCTACTCAGTCAGTCAATCAGTCGGTTATTCAGACAATCAGTCAGTCAGTCAGTCAGTTTGTTCAGACCGTCAGTCAGTCTGTTCAAAAAGTCAGTCAGTCTGTCTGTTCAGACAGTCAGTCAGTTCAGTCAGTCAGTCAGTCAGTCAGTCAGTCAGTCAGTCAGTCAGTCAGTCAGTCAGTCAGTCAGTCAGTCAGTCAGGCATTCAGTCAGTCAAGGATGAAAAGGATTAAAAGGACAAAAGGCATAAAAAGGTAAAAGGGATAAATCGGATAGAAACGATAAAAAGGATAAAATGAATGAAAAGGACGGAGAATGAAAAGGACGGAGAATACGAAGAGGACGACAAGGACAAAAAGGACGGAGAAGACGAAATGGAAGAACAGGACAAAAAGAACAGAGAGGACGAAAAGGACGGAGAAGGATGAAAATGACAAAAAGGAAAAAAGGATAAAATGGATAAAAAGAATAGAAAGGTCAATCAGTCGGTCGGTCAGTCGCTTGGTCGGTCGGTCGGTCAATCAGTCAGTCAGTCAGTCAGTCAATCATTCAGAGAGTCAGTCAGTCAGTGCCTTCATTCAGTCAACGATGAAAAGAATCAAAACGACAAAAACGATAAAAAGGATAAAGTTCTGTCGTTCGGTCAGACAGTCAGTCTTTCAGTCGGTTATTCAGAGAGTGAGCCAGTGTATTCAGTCAATCAGTCAGTCTCTTCAGTCAGTCAGTCAATCAGTCGCTCATTCAGAGAGTGAGTGACTGAGTCAGTCAGTCAGTCAGTCAGTCAGTCAGTCAGTCAGTCAGTCAGTCAGTGTCTTCAGTCAGTCAGTCAATCAGTCGGTCATTTAGAGTCAGTCAGTCTGTTCAATCAGTCAGTCAGTCAGTCAGTCAGTCAGTCAGTCAGTCAGTCAGTCAGTCAGTCAGTCAGTCAGTCAGTCAGTCGGGCATTCAGTCAGTCAAGGATGAAAAGGATCAAAAGGACAAAAAGCATAAAAAGGTAGACGGGATAAAAAGGATAAAAAGGACAAAATGGACGAAAAGGACGGAGAAGACGAAGAGGACAACAAGGACGAAAAGGACGGTGAAGACGAAATGGACGAACAGGACGAAAAGGACGGAGAGGACGAAAGGGGCGAAAAGGACGGAGAGGACGGAAAGGACGAAGAAGACGAAAATTTCGAAAAGGACAAAGAGGACGAAAAGGACGGAGAAGACGAACAGGACGAAAAGAACAAAAAGGAAAAAAGAATAAAATGGATGAATAGTATAGAAAAGTCAGTCCGTCGGTCAGTCAGTCAGTCAGTCAGTCAGTCAATCAGTCGGTCATTCAGAGTCAGTCAGTAAGTCTGTTCAGTCAGTCAGTCAAGGATGAAGAGGATCAAAAGGACAAAAAGCATAAAAAGGTAAAAGGGATAAATCGGATAGAAACGATAAAAAGGTAGAAGGGATAAAAAGGATAAAAAGCACAAAATGAACGAAAAGAACGGAGAGGACGAAAAGAGGAGGCGGACGAAAAGGACGGAGAAGACCAAGAGGACGAAAAGGACGAAAAGGACAAAAAGGAAAAAAGGATAAAATGGATAAAAAGAATAGAAAGGTCCGTCAGTCGGTCGGTCAGTCAGTCAGTCGGTCAGTCAGTCGGTCGGTCGGTCGGTCAGTCACTCAGTTCGTCAATCAGTGGGTCATTCAGAGAGTCAGTCAGTCTACTCAGTTAGTCAGTCAGTCAGTCTACTCAGTTAGTCAGTCAGTCAGTCAGTGTACTCAGTTAGTCAGTCAGTCAGTGTACTCAGTTAGTCAGTCAGTCAGTCTACTCAGTTAGTCAGTCAGTCTACTCAGTTAGTCAGTCAGTCTACTCAGTCAGTCAGTCAGTCAGTCAGTCAGTCAGTCAGTCAGTCAGTCAGTCAGTCAGTCAGTCAGTCAGTCAGTCAGTCAGTCAGTCAGTCTCCTCAGTCAGTCAGTCAGTCTCTTCAGTCAGTCAGTCAGTCTCTTCAGTCAGTCAGTGAATCTCGTCAGTCAGTCTCTTCAGTCAGTTAGTCTCTTCAGTCAGTCAATCAGTCGGTCATTTAGAGTCAATCAGTCTCTTCAGTCAGTCAGTCAGTCTCTTCAGTCAGTCAGTCAATCAGTCGGTCATTTAGAGTCAGTCAGTTTCTTCAGTCAGTCAGTCAGTCTCTTCAGTCAGTCAGTGAATCTCGTCAGTCAGTCTCTTCAGTCAGTTAGTCTCTTCAGTCAGTCAATCAGTCGGTCATTTAGAGTCAATCAGTCTCTTCAGTCAGTCAGTCAGTCTCTTCAGTCAGTCAGTCAATCAGTCGGTCATTTAGAGTCAGTCAGTTTCTTCAGACAGTCAGTCAGTTTGTTCAGACAGTCAGTCAGTCAGTCAGTCAGTCGGTCTGTTCAGACAGTCAGTCGGTCTGTTCAGACAGTCAGTCGGTCTGTTCAGACAGTCAGTCGGTCTGTTCAGACAGTCAGTCGGTCTGTTCAGACAGTCAGTCGGTCTGTTCAGACAGTCAGTCGGTCTGTTCAGTCAGTCAGTCAGTCAGTCAGTCAGTCAGTCAGTCAGTCAGTCAGGCATTCAGTCAGTCAAGGATGAAAAGGATGAAAAGGATCAAAAGGACAAAAAGTATAAAAATGTAGAATGGATAAAAAGGATAAAATGAACGGAAAGGACGGGGAAGACGAAGAGGACGACAAGGACCAAAAGGACGGTGAAGACGAAATGGACGAACAGGACGAGAAGGACGAAAAGGACAAAAAAGGAAAAAAGAATAAAATGGATGAGAAGTATAGAAAGGTCGGTCAGTCGGTCGGTCAGTCGGTCGGTCGGTCGGTCGGTCGGTCGGTCGGTCGGTCGGTCGGTCAGTCGGTCGGTCGGTCGGTCGGTCGGTCGGTCGGTCGGTCGGTCGGTCGGTCGGTCGGTCGGTCGGTCGGTCGGTCAGTCAGTCAGTCAGTCAATCAGTCGGTCATTCAGACAATCAGTAAGTCTGTTCAGTCACTCAGTCAGTCATTTAGAGTCAGTCAATGTCTAGGGCAAATGCCTTTTCTTTTCTTAGAGGGTATCTCATTCGTCAAAATCAGTATTAGTAGGCCCGCCCACCCACCCTCCCTTTTCTTAGAGGATATGTCATTTGCCAAACTCAGTCTTATTTTTGCAGCTACTAGCCCCGCCCACACACCCTCTCTTTTCTTAGAAGTATGTGATATGCCAAAATCACTTTTATCGTGGCAGATACTAGCCCCGCCCACCCGCCCTTTCTCTTCTTAAAGGATATGTCATTCGCCAATATCAGTTTTATCCTAGTAGGTACTAGCCCCGCCCACCCGCCCTCTCTTTTCTTCAAGGGTACGTTATTTGCCAAAATCAGTTTTATCTTAGCAACTACTAGCCACGCCCACCTCCCTCTCTTTTCTAGAGAGTATATCATTTGCCAAAATCAGTTTTATTGTTATAAAATTGGGTTCTTTTTTTAGTAATTTACATCATAAAGAATTTTTTATTATACTTTTGAGACGCTATTTTCCAGACACCCGGTAAACGACATAATACGTCAACACATTCTACCTAAACCAAAAACCAACCTACCTGCAGATGCTCCGCGAACTGCCCCAGAGCGAAAAACGCCGCATTCCTCACCACAGCGTTCGGATTGTGTATAGCATTACACACGCACTTCAAAAACGGCTCCAAATACTTGTGCCTTATCCTCTCCGAGCACCCTTCGGCCAGCACCGCCAGCGACAAATACGCCGCCTTCTGCGCGTAAATATCGTTCCCCTGGATCGCCGGCTCCACCCTGGTCAGCAAGTACGGCACCACCTTCTCCGAGGGTATGTGCAAGGCTATCAAGTCCAGCGTCTGTGTGGCGATCGTGATGGACGTGAACTGGTCCGGGTCCCCCAGGAAGTACTCCTCGTTGACGTCGTCGTCCGGCTGCTGCGCCATCAGCTGGATCAGCACGTTGATGATCGGCTCGACGAGTTTGTTCTTCTGGATGACTTTGCCCTTGGAGCGGATCAGCCAGCCGACGACGCTGATGGCTTTGATTTGGACCGTGGTGGGCATGGAGCTGTCGCCACCGATGCGAAGGCACATGTCTACGATCAGCCTTACGTGGGGGACGACGACGGCGACGGCGTACTCGATCAGTTCTTCGAGGATCTCGAAGAGCTCGCACGCGCGCTTCTCGTCTTCTTGGGAGAAGGCGTTGATGATTTCGAGGATGCGGGGGAGGAGGTTGTGGTAGACGTTGACCATCTGGGGGTGAGAGTGTGGGTGTGGCGAATGCGAGAAAAGTGTCAATAGTTGGGCAAACTTTTTTTTTATTTTGATGTAAATTTTACAAATTTAAACAGAGAAAATTCTATCCACCTCCTTTTTCTAAAAAATTGGTCTAAAGCTATTGGATAGAACTTGCACCTGAAGTAGAGTCAAACCAATCCAATTATCTAGATAATTTATAAAATTTAATTTTGTGAATTTTAGTCAAAATAACAGAGGGGGATTAAAAAAAACAATAAACAAAAAGGTGACAAATAAAGGACAATAAAAGGGATCAACAAAAAAACACGATAAAAAAGATAAGATACATAAGATAAGATAAAAAATACGGAAAAAAGAGAGAAAAAAATTACAACGATAAGTCGCAAAATTGTCACAAAGAGCAACACGGGAAAATAGAAAAAAAATGGAAAATGCGGGAAAAAAAGCCAAAAAAAAGGGTAAACCAATGTCAAAAAAACGATAACAAATTATCAAACAAATGCGGAAAAAGGGGCATGAAAAAGGTAAAAAAAGGGGGTAAAAGGCCACATAAAGACGATAAAATTGCAAAAAAAAGTCATAAAAATTACGAAAAGACCAAGAAGTACAACAAAAATAGAGGAAAATGTCAAGATAAAGTGGGGGATAAAGGCCGGACAAAAGAATACGAAAAAAATGCCAATAAAGGAGAAAAAAAGACGGGAAAAAAGCCAGAAAAAAAGGACAAAAAGTAAGCAACAAAAAAAACACCAAAGAGAGGAAAAATTGCCAAAAACAGCGAAATAAATTCGGCAATAGGGCAGAAAATGAGTAAATAAAGGGACGACATAAAAAATACACGAACATGCAAAAAAGATGAAAAAAAGGCACGAGCGAAATTGGAAAAAAGTGAAAAAAAAGTGGGAAAAAAAGGGACAAATGGAGCATAAAAATCACAAAAGAAACCAAAATAAAAGGCAAATGGAATAAGAAACAAGAAAAGGCAACAAGAAAAAAAAAGTCGGAAAAAGGCAAGACGAGGATGAACAAAAGGGATAACAAAAATTACCAAAAAGGCGAAATAAAGATTAATAAAATTGGGTAAGACAAATAAAAGTGAAAAAATAATGATAAAAAACACACAAAAGTGGAAGAAAAACATGCAAAAAAAAAAGATAAAATGAATAGAACGAGAAACAAAATTAGGAAATAAGTTAAAAAAAATCACAAAAAGGTAAATAGAGTGAAAGAACAAAAAAATGCGGAGAAAATGTGAAAAAAGGCAAAAGAAAGGTGAAACAAAAAACGATAAAAATGGTGGAGAAAAAGACGTCACAGAAGGTAGACAAACCATCACAAAAAAAGTTCAACAAAAAAAAGCGGATTAAAACGCGAAAGAAACACGTAAAATTGTTAAAAAAGGCAAAAAGGCAAGTGGGGGAAAAAGGGCGTCAAAAAAAAACGAGAAAATGCTGATAAAGAAAGGAGGAAAAAACACCAAAAAAAAGTGCAAAAACGCCATTAAAATGGCCAATTAAAATAAAAAGAACAAAAAGGGCGCAACAAAAAAAACGCCAAAAGGCGGAAAAATTGCCAAAAACAGCAAAATAAATGCTGCAAACGAACAGAAGATGGGTGAATAAATGGAAAAAAGAGACAATAAAAAAGGCGATAAAAAAGTGCAAAAAATAGGAAAAAAGACACAAAAATGCAAAAAAGGCAGCAGCGAAATTGAAAAAAACAAAAAAAAGGTGGGGAAAGAGGAATAAAAGCAAAATACCTCACAAAAAAAAAAAACAAAACAAAATTTAATGAAACAAGGAACAAAAAAACATGAAAAAAAGGCGAAACAAGTGGGAAAAATTACAAAAGATTCGAAAAAAGACAAGATGACGAAGAACAAAAGGGCTAAAAAATTGCCAAAATAAAAGCGACATAAAGGTTCAAAAAAATGGGGGGGGGGGGGGAGTAAAAAAACAAAAAATGCGGGAAAACCGTGAAAGAAGGCATAAGAAAGGTAGAAAGAAAGAGGCAGAAACAAAAAAGCATAGAAAGAACCACAAAAACAAAACACTACGAAAAAAAGGGAAAAAACGGTTAAACAAGAGCTGGCAATAAGTACAAAAGAATCATAAACATGTGGGGAAAAAAGGCACGAAAAGGAGAAAAAAAGACAACAGAAAAAACACAAAAAGCGTCAAAAAAAACAACATTAAAAAACAGGCAAAAAATTGACAAAAAAAAACAAAACAAAGACAATAAAAAAGGGCAACAATGAGAAAAAAAAATACAAAAATGCAAAAAACGTGGAAAAAAAGGCAGCAGCAAAGTTGGAAAAAAAGCCAAGAAAAAAAGGTGGAGAAAAAAGGGACAAAAAGCAAAATACATCACAAAAAAAAACCAAAACTAATGCGAATGAAACAAGGAACAAAAGAACTTGAAAAAAGGCGAAAAAGGATTAAAAAAGGTGAGAAATATGACAAAAATAGTCGGGAAAAGGCAAGATAAGGAAGAACAAAAGGGCTAAAAAATTTCCAATAAAATGCGTAATAAAGGTTTAAAAAAGAGAGAACGCAAAAAAAGTGAAAAGACAAAGAAAAGGTGGAAAAAGTCGCAAAGAAGGAGCAAGAAAACAAGTAAAAAAAGAGATGAGTGAAACAAGGGCAAAAAATACCCCAAAAAATGCGAAAAAAGGCAGAAAAAAGAACGATAAAAAACACACAAAAGTGGAAGAAGTAAAGGACAAAGAAGAGATAAAAAGAATCGTAATCCTGAAGAAATTCCGCGTGAAATGACACCCAACATGGTCGAAACGGACCAATTTTGAGAAATTCGAAAAAAAAGGAGGGTCAGACAAATTTGCATTTTTCTCGCGTAATTTACGAGCTAGATCAAAAACGAGAACGGAATCGTAATCCTGAGGAAATTCCGCGTGAAATCACACCCAACATGGTCGAAACGGACCAATTTTGAAAAATTCGAAAAAAAAGGAGGGTCAGACAAATTTGCATTTTTCTCGCGTAATTTACGAGCTAGATCAAAAACGAGAACGGAATCGTAATCCTGAGGAAATTCCGCGTGAAATCACACCCAACATGGTCGAAACGGACCGATTTTGAAAAATTCGAAAAAAAGGGGGGGCAGAGAAATTTGCATTTTTCTCGCTTATTTGAAAAGATACGTCAATGGCGAATACGGAATCGTAATCCTGAGGAAATTCCGCGTGAAATGACACCCAACATGGTCGAAACGGACCAATTTTGAAAAATTTGAAAAAAACGGGGGGCAGAGAAATTGGCATTTTTCTCGCTTATTTGAAAAGAAACGTCAATGGCGAATACGGAATCGTAATCCTGAGGAAATTCCGCGTGAAATGACACCCAACATGGTCGAAACGGACCAATTTTGAAAAATTCGAAAAAAAAGGGGGGCAAACAAATTTGCATTTTTCTTGCTTATTTTAAGAGGTAGATCAAAAACGAGAACGGAATCGTAATCCTGAGGAGATTCCGCGTAAAATGACTCCCAACATGGTCGAAACGGACCAATTTTGAAAAATTCGAAAAAAAAGGGGGGCAGAGAAATTTGCATTTTTCTCGCTTATTTTAAGAAGTAGATCAAAAACGAGAACGCGCATCGTAATCCTGAGGAAATTCCGCGTGAAATGCCACCCAACATGGACGAAACGGACCAATTTTGAAAAATTTGAAAAAAAGGGGGGGCAGAGAAATTTGCATTTTTCTCGCTTATTTTAAGAAGGATCAAAAACGAGAACGGCATCGTAATCCTGAGTAAATTCCGCGTGAAATGACACCCAACATGGACGAAACGGACCAATTTTGAAAAATTTGAAAAAAAGGGGGGGCAGAGAAATTTGCATTTTTCTCGCTTATTTGAAAATATACGTCAATGGCGAATACGGAATCGTAATCCTGAGGAAATTCCGCGTGAAATGACACCCAACATTGTCGAAACGGACCAATTTTGAAAAATTCGAAAAAAAGGGGGACAGACAAATTTGTATTTTTCTTGCTTATTTTAAGAGGTGGATCAAAAACGAGAACGGAATCGTAATCCTGAGGAGATTCCGCGTAAAATGACTCCCAACATGGTCGAAACGGACCAATTTTGAAAAATTCGAAAAAAAAGGGGGGCAGAGAAATTTGCATTTTTCTCGCTTATTTTAAGAAGTAGATCAAAAACGAGAACGGCATCGTAATCCTGAGGAAATTCCGCGTGAAATGACACCCAACATGGACGAAACGGACCAATTTTGAAAAATTTGAAAAAAAGGGGGGGCAGAGAAATTTGTGTTTTTCCCGCTTATTTTAAGAAGTTGATCAAAAACGAGAACGGCATCGTAATCCTGAGGAAATTCCGCGTGAAATGACACCCAAAACGGTCGAAACGGACCAATTTTGAAAAATTCGAAAAAAAAAGGGAGGCAAACAAATTTGCATTTTTCTTGCTTATTTTAAGAGGTAGATCAAAAACGAGAACGGAATCGTAATCCTGAGGAGATTCCGCGTAAAATGACTCGCAACATGGTCGAAACGGACCAATTTTGAAAAATTCGAAAAAAAGGGGGGGCAGAGAAATTTGCATTTTTCTCGCTTATTTGAAAAGATACGTCAATGGCGAATACGGAATCGTAATCCTGAGGAAATTCTGCGTGAAATGACACCCAACATGGTCGAAACGTACCAATTTTGAAAAATTCGAAAAAAAAGGGGGGCAGATAAATTTGCATTTTTTCGGCAGGAAATAAGAACCAAAAGGTAAAGAGTAAAAAAACAAATAATGCGGGAAAAACGTGAAAAACGGCAAAAGAGAAGAAGAAAAAAAGAATAAAAAAGGTGCGGAAAGACGCGACGCATCTTTTCTTCGGGCAGAAAAATGTGAAAAAAGGACGATAAGAAACACAAAAGTGGAAGAAAAAGGGCGAAAAAGAGATCATATGAATGAACAAAAAAAAACGATACAAAACGATAAATACGGGCAGGAAATAAGTTTTAAAAAAAGGTAGACAAAAAAAAACAAAAATGCGGGAAAAGGTGAAAAAAAGAATAAAAAAGGTGGGCAAAGTCGAGTCGCAAAAGCCATACAAACCGTCACAAAAAAGTTCAACAAAAAAAATTACTCAAAACGAGAAAAACGGGGAAAAGGCAAAAAGGGGACAAAATGCGAAAAAGCAGGAAAAGGTGAAAAAATGACCAAAAAACCGCAATAAACAAAAGAAACAAAAAACAAAGCATAGAAAGAGAGAAAAACGGTGAAAAAAAACTGCAACGCGGGAAAATAAGGCAAAAAAAGCAGAAAAAAGGGCTAAAAATTGCAAAAAAAAAATGCATAAAAGATGGAAAAAAAGCAGCAGCGAAGTTGGAAAAAAAGTCAAAAAAAATGTGGGGAAAAAAGAGAAAAGGCAAAACACATCACAAAAAAAATGCGAATGAAAAAAAGGAACAAAAAAAACATAAAACGGAAAGACAAAAAGGGCGAAAAAAGCGGGAAAATTACAAAAAAAAGTCGAAAGAAGACAAGATAAGGAATGACAAAAGGGCTTTCCAAGAAAATGCGAAAAAGGGATCATATGAATGAACAAAAAAAAAACGATACAAAACGATAAATAAGTGCAGCAAATAAGTTTAAAAAAAAAGGTAGACCAAAAAAAAACAAAAATGCGGGAAAAGGTGAAAAAAAGAATAAAAAAGGTGGGGAAAGTCACAAACCGTCACAAAAAAGTTCAAAAAAAAAATTACTTAAAATGCGAAATAAAAACGAGGAAAAGGCAAAAAGGGGACAAAATGCGAAAAAGCAGTAAAAGGTGAAAAAATGACCAAAAAACCGCAACAAACAGGAGAAACAAAAACAAAGCATAGAAAGAAGCAAAAAAAAAGATTTTAAAAAGCACAAAGAACAAACACAGCAGAGGACAAAACGAAAAAAAGAGAAAAACCGTGAAAAAAGAACTGCAAATAGGTACAAAAAGCATTATAAACAGGGCAAAAAGAACAAAAAAGACGGGGGAAAAGCGGGAAAATAAAGCAAAAAGCAGAAAAAGAGCTATAAAAATTGCAAAAAAAATGCGAATGAAAAAACACAAAAAGGGTTACAAAAAAAGCATTAAAAACAGGCAGAACAAGGCGGCACAAAGGGAACAAAAAAAACACTAAATAAACTAAGAAAAAGGAAGAAGGACCACAAAAATGAAAGAAAAGAGCGACAAAAAATAAAGGAAAAAATGGCAAAAAAAAGCAGAACGGGAGACCTAATTTTTCATACTTTAGGGACTACGAAACGTCGAAAAAGCTGAAAATAACCATTCTTTTCAAAATTATTCATGTAAATAGTATATAGGGATCGACGCGTAGAGAATTATTCAACAGAAGTAGACCAAACATCAAGTAGTCTCAAAGATATCTCTCCATAAAAGTTGTCAACAACGACGATGAAGACAAAAACAAATTACAAAGATACGAATATCTCGTCATCCTCGTCTAGCACTTTATACAAGCAATATGTTTAGAGTGAATCATATGTATACCAACGTTAAAAACAATTTTTTATTGTTGTCGTTACAAACTTCCACATTTATATAACTCGTTTGCCCAACTATGCGCCACTACAATAAAAAATCATTACCTGTTGATGTCCGGCGATCACCGACACTAGATTATTCATGGTCACCACCGTGTAATAAGCCAAATTTGAATTCAGTTCCGGGAGAGTATTTAAAATATTGGTAAAAAGTATTGCAAACGCGTCAGCGTGATTGATGTACGAGCCTTGTGAAATTTCAGTCATTATAGATAGGGTATACATCCCCAACTGAAAAAATTCCTTCATGAAAAATCACCACCGACAAAATAGAAGACGCCATTTTACTTTCTTCTAAAATTTTCGACCAAAAATAAACTGGCGTCTCTACACTTTCAAAACAAAAAAGTACCTCTCTATCAAATATGTGGTCACTACTACACAATGTATGTATAAACTGTAAAACTTCCGGCCACGTATTGTCTGGAAATTCGTGTTTACCTATGATCCCAATAAACTGAGCTATTGCATTCTTCACGAGCTTCTCTTGTTCGCTAACTAAGGCCTGAAGCATCCCTTGTTTTATCCTAAAAAAGGCAAAGTGTACTACGTCCATGTGGCTAAAGTTACGACACAGCGCCATCTAGTGGGCGGGCTGTTGGGGTGGCGGCCTTAACTCTTCAAATAAATAAATTTTGGCCACGTTGTTGTAACTTTTTGGTTTATAACATACACATAATTTTTTTTTTTTTTAATAAACACAACATGAGGAGCAGCGGCGCCATCTACCTAGAACTAGAAGTGCCACCACAACTTATTCTTACATTTATTTATTAGTAAATTTGACTACTTTTAACGTTAAACCAACTTAACTTGTATTAAAATCTAATCACTGAATGCGTGCTCAAAATCTTAAAAAGTACGTATTTAGAACACCATCAAACCTATTTCTGGTCTCCACATTGAGCTTACTCCACTGCCTCTTCTTGCCCAGCTTCCTCCGGAGCAGCACAGCTGCGGACTGCCGGATTTGGGAGTTTGGGGACGAAACGATGACTTCGCACAGGGCCGGAATGGCCTCGGGCTTCTTGAAAGCCTCCTTCAGTTCTTTGGTGCCCTTTATAACACAACAAGTCGTCGACGGTCAGTTTTGTCCGGTGTACACGTGTTTAGTGAGGTTAAGATCGTTATTTATCAAGTTTAACACATTTACCTGTTGAATAACTTTGCTGTTTGCCACCAGCAGTTTGGCCAGGATTTCCTCCATTGTGTTTGTTACAATTAATGTCATACAACTATATAACCATAAAACACCGGCAAAACGATAAACTAATTGCGCACTGATGCACTGATATGCAAAAAGAAGAAATTTGGGTTGGGGCTAAATTGATGTGAATCATGTGGAAAGTGACAGATGACAAGGAGGTGGTAGGTGCTGCGCTCTGGTGGGATAGTTTGGGAGGGGTAAAGGTGCGTTCACACGGAAGGATGGCGGACGTAACGTATGCATACGGTTTTTTAGTCTTTAAGCTTGAATATCGTGGATTTAAAAATTTTATTTGGGTTTTGAATACTCCTTAAAGCTGTTATCTACTCGATATAGATGCGTTCATGCCGAAAAGGGTATTCCATTGCCACTTTGTACCGCTAGAGGCGCCACGGCTGTAAGGTCAAAATCACCAAAAAGTGTCAAATATAATGACTTTCATGTGATAAAGTTAGACAAATACACAAAACACAAATATCAATTTGGCTGTTGCCAACCTTTGGTTACAAGTTCGTGCCCCTTCGGTGGTGGCGACACCTACTTTAGCTTTGGGTGGAATACCCTTTAATGACAACTGCAAACTGACAAACTATCATTGCTGCCAATAATTCAGAATTTCCAATACAAAAGTTTAAATAGTCATCCGGTGTACATGCAATTTATGCAACTATGCAACATCCAACGAGAATTTCTTTAGGTCATTTTCAAAGTGGAATTTTTTTTAATATACCAATAGTGATTCTGGAAAATTGATACGAATTTTCAAGGAAATGAAGTCGAAATCAATAAAAGAATAGTTAGATCATTTTTGAACGTGCTTGAAAAAAGGTCAACATTTTGATATTGAAAATTTGAACCATTTAGCAAAAATTCTAAGATGTAGATCTCGATAAATTTAATCCTAAAACATTGTTGGTCCCGAACCAAGATTTTTGAATAATTAGTTTCAAAGCCGATTTTTTAAAGTATTTTAAAAATGGACATATTTTGTTTTGTCGATTCTCGAAAAACAGCAGGAATTTTGGAAGAAATGAAGCCGAAAATAACTGTTGGAAATGGAAGTCAACTTAAGAATTTCGTTAGGTCATTTTCACAAGTGCTTGAGAAAAGTTAAAAATTTTCATATGGGGAAGTGTTGAAATTTTTGACTTTTTGAAAAGTTGTCAAAAAATCCTGAAATATTTGGTTTGGTTGGTAGGAATTTTCAAGGAAATGGGATCGAAAATAACCTCTTAAAGTCGAAATCAACAAAAGTATATTTAGGCAATGTTTGAACGTTCTTGAGAAAAGTTAATAAATGTTTGAATTTTTTTTATCAACTACCAGGGGTCTCCAAAATTCTCCGATATTCATCCAATAACCAAACACTAGAGGCCCGAAAGATTCGTTCAAAATTTACAGAAAAGAAAATGCCAGGAGCCCTCTATATTTTTTCAATTAAAAATAATAACAATAATAATACACCAAAGCCCCTAAATTTCTTTCAAGATTTCCAGACACGAAAATATCTTTTTTTTAATATTTCTACACCCAGAATTTTTTCAGCTTCTTCCAAAACAAAACATCAAAAGTCCCCAAGATTCTTTCAATTAAAAAAAATAAACACCAGAGGTTCCCAAAACATTTACATATATTCTTTTCCAATTTTTCTCAAAATAAAACACCTGAAGCTTTCACAATTGTTTCAACTTCTTCCAAAAACAAAACACCAAAAGCCGCAAGATTTTTTCTATTTTTTTCAAAAATAATACACTAGGAGCTCCCAAGATTGCTTCAATTTCTTTCAAAAACCACACACCGGAGGACCCCAAGACTCCTTTCACATCGTTAAAAAATGAAACACTAGGGAACTCCAAGATTGTTTAAATTATTTCCAAAAATTAAACACCAGGAGCCCTCAAGATTCTATCGATCTTTTGCAAAAACGGAACACCATAGGCTTCCAAAATTCTTTTACACTTTTTCAAAAATAGAACACCATGAACCCAAGAGATTCTTTCAAAGTCTTCTAAAAACAGAACACCAGGAGGCTCCACGATTCTTTCAATTTCTTTCAAAAATAAATCACCAGGGGACCCCAAGATTCTTTTAACTTTTGTTTAAATGAAACACTAGGGGCTCCTAAGATTCTTTCAACTTCTTCCAAAAATAAAACACCAGGTTCCCCAAAGATTTTTTCGATTTCTTTCAACAGTAAAACACTGGAGACTTCAAAGATTCTTTCAACTTATTCCAAAAAAAAAAACACCAGGACCCCCAAAATTCTGCTAAATTAAAAAAAAAAACACTAGCCCCCCCCACCATTAAAATATTTTCAAAAATTAAATACCAGAGGCCGCCAAGATTATTTAAAATTCATCCACTAACTATCCACTAAATACACCAAAGGCCTCAAAATTTTATCAATTTCTTCCAAAAACAAAACAAAAACACCATATGCCTCCAAAATTCTTTTATACAATTTTCAAAAACAAAAAATCACGAGTGCAAAAGGTTTTTCAATTTTTCCAAAAACAAAACACCAGAAGCCACCTAGATCCTTTAAATTTTTTTCAAAAATAAACGTCATCAACATATTTCACATAATTTTTTCAATTGCTTTTAAAACAAAAGACTAGGAGCTTCTGAGATTCTTTTAACTTTTTTCAAAAAACAATACACCAGAGGCTCGCAAAATTCCGTTAATTTTTGTTTAAATTAAACAGCAGGGGCCTCAAGGTTTTCTCTTTTTTTTATGATACATTAGGAACTTTCAACAAAAATTAAAGACCAAGGGCCGTTAAAAATCTTAGTCTATTTCAAAAATAGCACACTTCAAGCCCAAAATATTCTTTCAACTTTTCCAGAAAACAAAACACCAAAACCTCTGTTTTTTTTTTTATTTTTCCCAAAAATAAAACACCAGAGTCCTCCAGAATTCTTTCAAATTCTTCCAAAACAAAACACGAAAAGCCGCAGTTTTGTTATTTTTTTCTAAAATAAAACACTAGGAGGAGCTCCCAAGATTGTTTCAATATCCTTCAAAAATTAAACACCAGGACTCCTCAAGATTCGTTAATATTTCTCTACTAACAATACACCAAATTCTTCCAAGATTTTATTGATCTTTTGCAAAAATAGAACACCATAGGCTCCCAAAATTCTTTTACACTTTTTCAAAAATAGAACACCACGAACCGAAAAGATTCTTTCAGTGTCTTCTAAAAACAGGACACCAGGAGACTCCAAGATCCTTTCAATTTCTTTCAAAAATAAAACATTGGGAGTTGGCAAGATTCTTTCAACTTTTTTCAAAAATAAATCACCAGGGGACCCCAAGATTTTTTTGGTTTCTTTCAACAATAAAACACTGGCAGTTTCAAAGATTCTTTAAACTTAAAAAAAAAACAGAACCCCAAAATTCTGTTAAATTAAAAAATAAAACACTAGCAGCTCCCAAGATTCTTAAAATTCTTTCAAAAATTTAAACTCCATGGGCCCTTAAAATTTTATTAATCTCTTTTAAAAACAGAACACATGCTACAAAAATTTTTACATTTTTTCAAAAATAGAACATCACAAGCCCAAAAGATTCTTTTTACTTTTCCAAAACCAAAACGCCAGATTCTTTAATTTTTTTTTTACAATAAGCAGCAACGGCCCCAAAATTTTTCAACTTTTTCCAAAAAGAAAAACCCCTTAGATTCTTTGATCTTCTTTCAAGAAACAAAATGCCAGGAGCCCCCAAGATTCCTTTAAATTATGTTTAAATAAAACACTAGGGGCTCCTAAGATTCTTTCAACTTCTTCCAAAAATAAAACACCAGTTGCTCCCAAAATTTTTTCAATTTCTGTCAACAATAAATAAAACACTGGAGACTTCAAAGATTCTTTCAACTTCTTTAAAAAAAAATACCAAGACTCCCAAAGTTCTGTTAAATTAAAAAAGAAAAATAAAACACTAGCAGCTCCCAAGATTTTTAAAATTCTTTCAAAAAAAAAACATCAGAAGCCCCAAGACTCTTTCAACTTTGTCGAAACATAAAACACCAACACTTTTATCAATTTCTTCCAAAAATAGAACACCATGTCCCCCATAATTTTTCACATTTTTCAAAAACAGAAAACCACGAGTGAAGGTTTTTTTCTATTATTTTTCAAAAACAAAACACCAGAAGCCTTCAAAATTCCGTTAATTTTTGTTTAAATAAAACAGCAGAAGCCTCAAGGTTCTTTCAAGTTTTTTCAAAAATAAAACATTAGAAGCATATCGAAAGATATTGAAATTTTTTACTTTTTGAACAGTTGTCTAAGAATCCACAAAAAAATCTGAAATCTAGATCTCTATGAGGTGAATCGAAAAACATGGCGTGTTATTAGTCTCGGATACAGATTTCGAAATATTCGATTTCAAAGTGTCTTTTTTAATATTCCAAAAATTGTCAATTTTGTTTTGGCGATTGTGGAAAAAGTGGTAGGAATAATTTTCAAGGAAATTAAGTCAAAAATAACTTCTTAAAGTCTAATTAATAAAAGAATCTCTAGGTAATTTTTGAACGTGCTTGAGAAAAGGTGAAAATTTTCATACCTATTGAAAAATTAGACTTTTGAAAAAGTTGCCTAAAAATCCACAAACAAATCTGAAAACTAGATCTCTATGGGCTGAATCATCAAAAAACTTGGCGTGTTGGTAGTCTCGGACCAAAATTTCGAAATATTCGTTTTCATAGTGTTTTTTAGAAACTCAATTTTGTTTTGACGAATATGAAAAAATGGTTGGAATTTTCAAGGAAATTAAGGCGAAAATAGCGTTTTAAAAGTCGAAAGCAACACAAGAATCTCTAGGCAATTTTTGAACGTGCTTGAGAAAAAAGAGGTCAAAATTTTCATATTGAAAATTTGAACTTTTTGGCAGTTGCCTAGAAATCCACAAAAAATTTTAGGGTATAGATTTCTGTGAACTTAATCGAAAAACAGCGTGTTGATAGTCTCGGACCAAGATTTCGTAATATTCGGTTTCAAAATGTTTTTTTTTATATTCCAAATATTGCCATATTTCAGTGTGACGATTCTGGAAAAATGGTAGGATTTTTCAAGAAAATGAAATCGAAAACGATCTCTTGAAGTCGAAATGATCAAAAGAATTTCTAGGTAATTTTTAAAGTTTTGAAAAA